CGTGTTTCCAACCAACTGCTGAAAGTCCTGATGTGTTCACATGTAATCCAGTTGTCGCACTGCTCCGGGTGTTTGGAGCGCAGACTGTTCTTGTGTTCATCGACATACGGGGTCACCAAGGTAGAGTTCTGTAGAACTGTGTAGTTTGCTTGAGACCAAGAATATCCGTCCCTGCATATTATTGAGTCTCTTCCAAGAGTGCCTTTTCCAGTCAGTCTCCCCTCATACCGCGATTTAGGGAGACCTATCTTCTTAAGGCCAGGAATGAAGTCAACACAAAACCCGATAACATCCTCTGTTTGATGGCCCATGGAGATGCTTCCTTCTGGCCTAGCGCGGTTACAGACATATTTCTTTAGGACTCCCATGAACCTCTCAAAGGGGAACATATTGTGTAGAAATACGGGCCCCAGGATGACAATCTCGTCGACTAGATAAACTAGGACGTGCGTCATGATATTGAAGAAGGATGGTGGGAACACCAGCTCGAAACTGACAAGACATTGCGCCACATCACTCTTTAGCCTTGGTACGATTTCTGGATCGATCACCTTCTGAGAGATTGCATTGAGGAATGCACATAGCTTCACAATGGCTAATCGGACGTTTTCCGGTAGAAGCCCCCTCAATGCAACCGAAAGCAGTTGCGTCATAATCACGTGGCAGTCATGAGACTTTAGGTTCTGAAACTTTTTCTCTGGCATATTTATTATTCCCTTTATATTCGACGAGAAGCCAGTCGTGACCTTCATACTGAGCAGGCATTCAAAGAAGATTTCTTTCTCTTCTTTCGTAAGAGCGTAGCTGGAAGGACCTTTATACTGCTTCGGAGGCATGCCGTCTTTTTCGTGCAAACGTTGCAGGTCCTCCTGTGCCTCAGGTGTATCTTTTGTCTTCCCATACACGCCCAAGAAGCCTAGCAGGTTCACGCAAAGGTTCTTCGTCACATGCATCACGTCGATTGAGGAGCGGACCTCTAGGTCTTTCCAGTAGGGTAGGTCCCAAAATATAGATTTCTTCTTCCACATGGGTGCGTGTCCCTCAGCGTCATTCGGAACAGCTAGTCCACCGGGACCCTTTCCAAAGATTACGTAGTGTAAATTATTGACCATAGCAAGCACGTGATCACCGGTGCGCATGGCGGGCTTCTTCCGGCGATCTGCCTCGCCTTTGAAATGCTTGCCTTTCTTTCGACATTGATGGTTGGTCAGAATAAATTGACGATGGCCCAGGTACACATTCTTCCTGCATTTGTCCAGGTATATACTTTCAGTGTTATCTAAACAGTGCGTGCATGCGTGGTATCCTTTGTTTGTCTGTCCTGAAAGGTTACTGAGAGCGGGCCAATCGTTGATGGTCATGAACAGCAACGCCATAAGGTTAAATTCCTCCTGTCTGTGCTCATCCCACGTACGTACACTGTTTCCATTTCACAGCTGTAAAAGTTCTTCAACTATTGGCCTTAGGTACACATCAATTTCGTTGCCGGGTTGCTTAGGGCCTTGGATGAGAACTGGCATGATAATGAACTTCCGCTTCATGCACATCCAAGGAGGAAGGTTATACATACATAGAGTCACGGGCCAGGTGCTGTGATTGCTGCTCTGCTCCCCGAAAGGATTAATGCCATCCGCGCTTAAAGCAAACCATACATTCCTTGGGTCCTTTGCAAACTCATCCCAGTACTTTCTCTTGATTTTTCTCCACTGCGACCCGTCAGCGGGTGGTCTCAACTTCCCATCTTTCTTTCGGTTCTCACTGTGCCATCGCATCAACTTGGCATGCTCTTCGTTTCTGAACAGACGTTTCAATCGTGGTATTATAGGAGCATACCACATCACCTTCGCAGGAACCCTCTTCCTGGGGGGCTCGCCGTCAACATCACCAGGGTCATCTCGTCTGATCTTATACCACAATGCACCGCATACCGGGCATGCGTTCAGATCCTTGTATGCACCGCGGTAGAGGATGCAATCATTAGGGCATGCACGTATCTTCTCCACCTCCAATCCTAGAGGGCATACGACCTTCTTTGCTGCGTATGTACTGTCGGGCGATTCGTTATCCTTTGGAAGCTTCTTCTTGAATATTTTTAGTAGCTTCTCAAATCCTTTGTCAGCCACAGCATTCTCTGCCCTCCACTGCAGCAATTCCAGTACAGTACTGAGCTTTGTGTTGCCATCTTCGCAATTGGGGTATAACCCTTTTTTGTGATCCTCTAACATGCGATCGAACTTCAGCTTCTCCTTTTGACTTTCGCATTGCGTCCTTGCATCGACAATGACCCGGCGGAGATCATCATCATCGGGCACATCGTCTGGTTCCTCTTGATCTTCAGCAGCTTCACCCGTTACAGCATCATTGGGCACATCGTCTGGTTCCTCTTGATCTTCACCAACTCCCCCCGTTGCAGCATCATCGTATTCAGGGAGCACATAGTTGTCATCATACTCTTCTTCTTCACCGTCTTCCATCATAACCCCTATTTCTCCGTGCCTCGTCCAAACATTATAGTGTGGCATGAAACCCTTGTAAAGCAGGTGGGAGTGAAGGATTTTCCGGTTAGAGTAAGACCTCGTATTCCCACATTCAGTGCATGGACAACACATAAAACCATTCTGCTTGTTTGCCTCAGCCGCATCGAGAAACTCATGCATGCCCTTAATGTACTCGCGGGTGTGTCTGTCACCGTACATCCATTGCCGGTTCATTTGCGTGCATTATATATAATTAAGTGTCAAAATTAATAGAAGTTCATCATCACATTAAAACCAAAGTGCATACATAGTTCTCATCTAACAACATATAACTCTCCAGAGCATCTAATTAATTAAACCATACATTGAAACTATGTAAAACATTTCAATGCGAAAACAAATGCGATCATAATCGCAACCAAGGTAACAATTGATCCAACGGCATAATGATACCAAGCCTCGGTATGAATGGCATATTTTCTAATCTTTCTAATCTTCAAGCGCATTGCATCCATCTTGATCTTGTGATCATCGACGACATCCGCAACATGCAACTCCAATATCATCTTCTCCTCCTCAATTTTTTTTATTTTTTCCTTCAACAAATTGTTTTCTTCTTCAACTAAATTTAACCTCTCGACAATAGGGTCGGTTGGCATTTCCGATTCACATACATCCTACATAAATAAAATCTATGTCACGTTGGTCGGCATAAGTTTCATAAACAATAAATGAACCAATAGTTATAAAGATAATATATATATATACCACATCCGAATCATAGACAGGACGAGGGCCGACGGGGGCGGATACCAAAACCATCGCACTATATAAGATGCAATAATAAAAGTAAGAACATAATACAAGTATCTACGTAAACATACAAGTAAGAATATTTTTCCTTTCAGAAAGAAGATAAAACAAGAGGCTCACCACGGTGGTGCCGGCGATGAGCTCGGCGCGGGTGATCGACGGCATTGAAGACGGGGATGGGGCGTGACGGACCGCTAAACCTAAACAAATATTATGGAAAATGGAGCTTGGAGGCCGAGCTTGGAGAGGAGAAAGCTTAAGTAGTGTGGCTCGGGCATTCCGTCGAACACCTTGTGTGCATAAGCGGTGAGCTAGAGCACCACCAAGCCCTCTCCCCCTCGGCCAGAGAAAAACAGAGCACTGGGGTGCTCTGCTCGCGAGCGAGGGGTATATATAGGCACCTTATTGGTCCCGGTTGGTGACATGAGCCGGGATTAAAGGGGAGCCTTTGGTCCCGGTTCAAGCCATCAACCGGGACCAATGATGGTGGGCCAGGAGCGAGGCCCATTGGTCCCGGTTCATCCCACCAACCGGGACCAAAAGGTCCAGATGAACCGGGACCAATGGCCCACGTGGCCCGGCCGGCTCCCTGGGCTCACGAACCGGGACCAATGCCCACATTGGTCCCAGTTCTGGACTGAACCGGGACTAATGGGCTGACCCGGCCTGGACCAAAGCCCAATTTTCTACTAGTGTTAACCGAGTTCCTCACACCTGATTACATGAAAAAATAGATACTATACGAGCAATTTGACAAAATTTAGTGCTCTTTCCCATTGCCATTATTTTCCTATCTATTTAGTTTTCTGGATTACTATGTTTGCATTCAACACGACAATGCATAAAACTACTGTACATATCCTGTTTAACTTAGAATTATTTACAGTTCTATTATTTGGACCTTGGTGTACATAGTTGTGACTTACCGATGGGCGCGGCATGCCACTGCGCGGGCTATGGTAGTAGTAGTACATACACCTCACTATTAATGTAGAGCCTATATGAGCTTCGTGCGGCCTACCAAACACGCCATTAATTTCTTAGACTTCTAAATATCTCTAAAACTTCATCATAATGAATGTTGTTGGACTATTTGCATGCTCTTGATGTAGAAGCCAAAAAAGGATATATATTTCAACCAAAACATTTTGAGATTCAGCGTGCTTGTTAGGTTCTTTATTCTTGAAATGACAAATACAGCATGTTGACTTACATAAACATACAAACGATTTCTTGAGTCTACATGTGTACCACTCTACATACACACTCAAAAAATGTATACTGTAGGCTGGAGTCGCAAGGCTAGTAAGATTTAGAAAACAAAACCATACACCAAGTGCCATAGCCAGGGCAACCCAGCTCATTTGCAAAAGCAAGATGGCAATTAAAAGCACCGATGAAATTCACAAAAAAATCTATCAAAAGCCAAGATGACCACCCAAGGAAAAAAAAACTTTGTATCTTCCAGTACATAATACATTCACCTAACTATTAATGAGAACATCACCACAGATACCAAATCATCAAAATCTAATAAGTCTATTTATACAGGCACATTTTCGAATAAAAATGTGGTCAAACCTGGATTTGATTTAGATACAATCACCCTTGTAATCATCCAAATATAAATATGTAAAAAAAGCACAATGAGTACTCACAAACTTAATTATTATTGTAGTTGCTAGAACACCAGGGTGTACTTCACCTTAATTAAGCTTGTTGGTTCACCCAGCTGTACTTGTCCATGTAGGGGTTGGTGGTGCTCTCCGGTGGGTATTCATCGACACAGTCTGCCCAGGCGCCCTTGTCAGCCATGTCGCCGGTCACCTCCCATAGGCAGCTGTTGCACTTGAACCCCGACCCGAAGGTGAGCATCAGCGCCCTATCTCCTCTCTTCAGCCTCCCCTTGGCCTCCATGTACGACAGCACGTACCAGAGGCTGCTCGCCGACGTGTTCCCCCACCGGTGCAGCGTCATCCGCGCTGGCTCCACGTCGTCGTCGTCCAACCCGAGGCTCTCCTTCACCGCCTCGATGACGGCGGCGCCGCCCGGGTGGAGGCAGAAGTGCTCCACGCCGGTCTTAAAGTTGATCCTGGCGCCGGGACGTCCGGCTGCCTTCACGTGCATGCCAAAATGGGATAGAAGCATGCTAGATACGTGCTGGGCGGCGAACCGCAGGAGCTCGGCCACGGGGAGGACGAGCGGGACGAGGCGCCGCAGGTTGAGAGTCAAGGCCCGGACGGCCGCCTCGGGCAAGGCCTTGCCGAGGCTGATCCCCACGCGGCCGTCGTCGTCCTCACGCTGCTGCGCGCAGGTGTGCGCCTTGTCGTCGGCGGCGGTGTTGGTGCGGACGAGGTGGCGAAGCGCCATCTTGGCGCGGCCGCAGAGCGACGGGTCGTTGGTGAGCAGCGCGGCGGCCCCTCCGGATCGGAAGAGGCAGTTGCCCAGCATCATGGACCGGTCGGTGCCGGCGTACCAGCTGGGGGCGATGGACTCGGACGAGACCACGAGGGCCAGCGTGGACGCCGGCCGAGCCCGCATCGCATTGCGCGCGAGGTCGAGCGCGACGAGGCCGGCGCCGCACCCCATGCCGGAGAGGCTGTACGCGGCAACGTCCTCGCGCATGGCGAAGCGGCGCACGACCCTGGAGGCAAGCGACGGCGCCGGGGAGAAAAGGGAGACGTTGACGACGAGCACGTCGACGTCCCCGGGCGACATGCCGGTCCTCACGAAGAGATCCGCGATGGCCTCGTCGAAGAAGGCGTCCATCTCGTCGAGCGCGTCCCGGTGGGTGGGCGAGTCCTCGCGGCCCTCCAGGATGCTGCACGGGCCGTAGCTGTGCTCGCCGATGCCGGACCGGACGATGACGCGGAGGAGGAACCGGAGCTCGGGGAGGCCGAGGCGGTTGTTGCGCAGGATCAAGCTGCCGCCGACCTCCGTGCTCACCTTGCGGTCGTCGCTCGGCTTGTGGCACACGTAGTCCAGCAGGTAGCACCGCGAGCGCCGCCGGCGGGCGACGGCCGCGCGCACCAGGGTAGCCACCGCGTGCGCGAGGAGGAGCGCGGTGAGCATGAGAAGCGGCTCCATCATCGCGTGTCCGCGTCCTGGCTAGCTGCGCACGCCTAAGTCCGCGTTTTAGAGAGCACGATTGTACCTACGCCAGCTTTGCATGCATTCAATTGGTTAGAGTGAGGCAAAAGTGACCTAGCTAGCCAGTAGCCTACTATCAATGAATACACCGGGTACTATACGCTACTCTATAGTACTCCCTCCATTCCATAATGTAGTGCTTCCTCTATCCCCGTACTTCAACTTTTATCGTAAATTTAACTACAAAAACCGATTGCAGCGGGAGCAAAAATTATATCAGCGAATTCGTATCTGAAAGAAGTTTTCAATTATATAATTTTTTCTCCCGCCGCAGTTGGTCTCGTTGGTTAAATTTATGGTCAAAGTTGGACCTCGGGAAGCGCGGGCGCACTATATTTTAGAATGGAGGGAGTAGTAGTAGTAGTAGTAGTAGTAGTAGGACTGATCACCGTCACTGTTGTGAGGAGTAATGAGTTCTAGTGCTCTACAAGCGCACACACAAGCGCCCAAGGAGTGGACACAACTAATGGGTGCTGCCTAATCCACGTGCAATGCAAAAATTTGGCAAAACAACAACATAAATACCACAATCAAGTCTCACAACATTACTTATACTTGAAGAAATAAGCACCGATTTGTTCAACACTGCATTTATTGATGCATCATGTGTAGTACGACGCAAAACAACCCGACTAGATCTGATTTGGAGTAGGGGTGCGGCGGGGGTGTTAGTGTTGGGTCATGCGTAGTAACAGGAAAAACAAACCGACTGGATGATACCCCACGCTTTGCTGCAGAAAATGGTTGCAATATATTTGAATGAGAATTGGTTGTATGAAAGATGAATATTTAAATTAATAACATGAGAATCAACTGAAAATACATATGCATGCTTTATTGCACTTGATTATTGTATAGTTGTGAGGTATTTATTGATTATAAGTTCTATAATTAAATAGAAATCATTTTTTTATTGTGGTGGACCTTTCTTCATGCATGGTTGCATATTGAGGTGGGCCTCTTCATGCATGACATGATTAGATGAATGGTCTCCAAGAGGGGGTTGTGCATGTTTGTTGGGTTTAACCTTGAAATTTATCAACCTTAGTGATAGAAAGAGAAAAATGTTTGTATTTTGTCATTGCCACTAAGGATAGGAAGTTAGTTGACTAGTTGTCTCGGTGACGAAATGAAGTTAAAGATAGTACACTATTTGCATTATGTCACTTTGGTTAATGCAATGCTCTGTTTTTACTTAATACTTAAAATGCATGCTGGATAGCGTTGTTCGGTGGAGTATTAGATATAATTTATGTCGTAATGATAGAAAGATAGATGCAGTTGGATAACTGTTTTACAGATACAAGGACGTAATGCTATGCAATCATGACATATATGATTATGTCATAAATACTATAATTTAAATGATAGACAACTTTAATTTTTTTCGCCACACCTTTATCCTCATAGTCACAACCTCGATCACTTTATTTTTTTGTTCTTTTACTTTTTTTTACACTTGCTTAGTCATCAATTCCAACCACAAGATATATTAATACTTGTAACTAGCAAAGCAAGTGAGGTTGACAACCTCAGTAGAAGTGTTGGGACCAAGTGAAGTGTTCAGGTTGTGCGTATTACTGATCACTAGTTATGAATCATGGACTCGGTGGATTGATACCTTGGTTCTTAATTAAGGGAAATATTTTCTGCATACTCGAAAACCTTCCTCTATGGGGAACAAAAGCTATATTCACCAGACATACATATTATTTGTGGGAGCATCAGTGCAACTGGGAGTGGGGGCTGGTGGGAGGAGGGGGGAGTCAACAGAGATGGGAGAAGATGGTGTTGATGGATGCAGAGTGGGTATTTGCATGACTCGCCGTCGGGATCAGACAACGCACAACTCTTTCGAGCATCGAGCATAAATCTATGTTCATAAGGGTCCAAATCCTCTACTGTAACTGTACTGCAGTCACAGGCGATGCCATGTGGCTCCGGCTCCATGTGTCATGAGAAGCACTGGGAGTTGTAGAGGATATCAACCCTATTCATCCCATTTTCCATTTAGATTTTTTCTTTACAATTCGCATGCATTCAATTAAAGTGAAGGGACCTTAGTTGTAAAAGAACGTAGCTATATCTATTGACCAATATTTTTTACGGATAAGATATCGTAGGACCAAAAATAACAAACAGAAGTCTATCTATAAGAAGTGCTTTGCATATTTATTCTCTGAAAGTGATTTTCATTGTACTGCCTTTCAATTGTTGTTGTTGCTATGTATGCTTCTTTAGTAGCAAGGTCATAGTTAATTGTGTTGCTATTTTTTGCACAACTCATTGATTGCTATTTATGCCTCATACTGAGATCGCTAATTCTTTTAACATGGTGATACTATTAAGGATTGTTGTTCAACATTTAACAGTCAAGAATGTTCTTTCAGTAACTACCGATGTTGCTATGAGGTTTGATATAAGCATGGTGCATGGATGTACATAATCAAGATCTGTTTTAGGGGGATACGATGGAAGAGGCAGAGACAGAGGTACTGGTAGAGGTGGAGGTAGAAAGGTAGAGGTGGTGGATGGTGTGGTAGAGGAGGTAGAAGCCATGCCAAACATAAGTGGCATGTGTAGAGGAAGACGAAGACGAAGATGAAGACGAATCATATTTTGAGAGGACGATTTACAAGCGCAATCGTAGAGGATGTATCATATTTTGTTTGGCTCAAGGTGCAACCCAAAAGGAAAAAATGTAGAAGAATGTGTCCAGACCTGTGTGGTTGCTGAGGAGAGAGCAACAACCAACAGTCTGCAAAGCACATTTGGCACATGTGCATGTGTGAGATTTGGCTTTTTTTGACGTGGTTGCAATTCTTGACATCTCATGCTTAGCATAATAAGTTTGTTTTTTTTGAAAAAGGGGGACACCCCGGCCTTTGCATCAGAACGATGCATAATAAGTTTGTACTTTGTGATGCTTTTGTTGGGCTCGAAAAAAGTAATCTAATGATCCAGCTAGCTTGTCATGCTATATTGTCGTTTTATTCTGGACTGTGATATTTGGTTTGTTAACTGAGATTACATGTGGTTTGCCTTTTGTCCACGTATAGGAGAAAAATGGGAGTGTACTGGGACATTCCTACTGTCATATATAGCGAGCACACTCATGCATACATTTACATTGAGTAGCACACCACACATCCTATCCATCCGTTACATGCTTCCACAACACACACATTATTTCCTACAGCCTCATGATCATCCCTATCACAATGCCCTGGCTCCACCATTGCCACTTTAGATTAAGCTATTGCGCTCATCTCTTCTCTTTTGAAGACACACATGCAGTGGTTCAACATTGTTGTATGCATGATAAAACTTAAAAGGAAAAGTTTGTTCTAGCTAGAATATTCTCATAAAGACAGA